ATCTGGCCGTTCAAAGTTTCAATGGTTTTCCATAGATTTAAGCTTTAAAGCAGGGCTGTCCAAACTCGGTCCTGGAGGGCCGGTGTCCTGCAGAGTTTAGCTCCAACTTGCCTCAACACATCTGACTGGAAGTTTCTATGTCTAGTAAGAGCTTGATTAGCTGGTTCAGGTGTGTTTAATTAGGGTTGGAGCTAAACTCTGCAGGACACCGGCCCTCCAGGACCGAGTTTGGACAGCCCTGCTGTAGCTGATACTACTGTTGAAGTCCTCAGTACTTCAGTCTCTGAATGTTATTGGAGGTTCCTTGTTCTGTGCATCATCCTGTTCTGTGACAATATTATTTTTTCCCCATCTTTTGCCTGTCACTTGTCTCTTGATCCTCTGCTCCGTCTTTTCCATCACTGTGTGGATGTGCGTGTGCTGGGGTAATTGTATGGGATGACAGCGGAAGAGTATTTCCCCTGGGACAGGGAGCTTCAGGCAGGTCTTTGGTTGGAGAATCTCACAAATGAAGAGGATACGGGTATATTTAAAGGTAGTGATGCCTGTGGATACGTTTGGCTTTAGCACACGCCGATACCTCATAACTTCATCAGTAACTAAAGAATTATTGTGCTAACACAATTTGCCTGTGTTTCTCCTGCTTTCCTCCTCTTTTTATTAGCTCTAGATGTGTTTTAATTGAATAAGGCTGTGAAGCTTTTACCATTAAACTAATTGTTAATTGCTGTCTTTTTCTGTAATGTTGTTTGAGGTTGAAAATGGCGTGCATTCACACCACCGTGGTGTTTTGAATGAGATTTTTCAGGGTGTTTTCACACTTGCTTTGATTGTTTGGTCTGAAACTGAGCTTATGTCATTAACACAAAGTACCACTGTTAATACTAGCGGCATCTGTTTATCACTATATCTGAGTAACAGGAAGAGAAGATGCCAGCTTCTATGCTTGATTTTGTTGTTTTACCAAACCTTAAAGGGATAGTTCACCCAAAAATGTGTATGACTGACTTCTGTGGAACATAAAGATATTTTTCTTTTATGTTTCGTGGAATAAAGCCATACAAATCATACAGGTTTGGAATGACATGAGGGTGAGTAAATGATGACAGAATTTTCATTTTTGGGTAAACTCATTTAACACACAGAAAACAGCATTAAATGTAGCTGCTGTAAATGTATTGAAAATAATGCATGCAAGAATGCATGAAATTTCTGCGACGAGATGGTATGATAAATGCATTATAGGCCTACTTTAAGGATCAAAATGTTCACTAATTCGGCCTGACTGTGATCCATACATGAACCATAACCCAGACTACAGTTTCAAGCAGACTTTGACACAGATTGCGGTTTCACGCCAGCTAAATGAACTGAACACTGACGTCAAGTCTACTCAAGTTCGCACCAAAAGCTCAAGTGTGAAAGCACCTGTAGAGTTGATTGTTGATTTTTAAAAATTGCTGTCATATATGAAGGAGCCTTTTCTAATGCATGCTACTTTTCGTATGTACTAACTTGCCACTTTACAGTCTATTCTAAACCATAATGTTCTCCTTTCTTTTTGTCTTCTTCAATGTGTCTGTCTGACTGTTTATGGCTGCTGAATCTCACTCTCTGTTCACTTTGCTGCCCATGGGGACTTTTTTGTGGTCTGGACCTTTTTACTTTTCGAACAAATTGGATTTTCTGTTCCTGACGTGCTAATGGACTCGCCAATTAATCCTACAAAATGATCGTGTCACCTTAATGGCTACCCGTAATGCCACCATGCAGCTAGGAACCTGCAAATCCAGCAAGCCATACATCCAGTAGACCCTCTAGACATCCAGATGGACAACCACTGGACATCCAAACAAGCTGAGGGGCTGGTTGAGGGCCACTCGATGTCACCCTTAGGCTCTCAGCCCTCGCTGAACAACACCCAGCTCACACAGCCCACCTCCTCCACAGGTAACCCCATGTGGAGGAGTCATACCTGGGCCCTGTGGCTTTTGGGGGGTAGTAGATGGTGCAGTTTACACCTGGTGTTAACATGCATCTCATATGTTTTTCTGTGTAATTGGATTTTGGGAGTAAAATATGTTTTTCAAGTTTGTTATTGGTCGATATTGTATGTTTAATATGCATGCTCTTTCCTCTGTTTTTACATTTAGAGGGGTCAATGACAAAGGGGTCATATGATGCGATTTAAATTTTTCCTTTCTCTTTGGAGTGTTACAAGCTCTTGGTGCATAAAGAAGATCTATAAAGTTGCAAAGACTAAAGTCTCAAATCCAAAGAGATATTCTTTATAAAAGTTAAGAGTCAGCCACGCCTACCTAAAACGGCTCGTTCTAACACGCCCCCACATACCTACATCACGATGTGGGAAGATTTGCATAAAGCCGCCCAAATGTTCATGCAAAGAAAGAAGGCGTAACTTTTATTCTCGCTGTAGTATTGTTGACGCTGCAGCCATGTCGTGAAGACGCTGTGTGCTTCGTTGTGAAAGCGAAACTACTTTCAAAAGAGGACGATATCCGCTTCGTCATGCCTAGAGCTGATCCGTGCTGGTCGCGGAGGAAATACATCAACTTTCACCGTGGACGAAGCGGAATCCAGCCCGGGGTCCGTCACATGTGGTTGCCGCTCATTCGCCGCCTCAGCTCACTCTAGCCCGGCCTCAGCGCACGCTAAGCCGGGGCTTCCCCTCACGCTACTACAATAATGTACAGTATTTGAAAAATAATGTGTTTTTTGAACATTAAAGCATGTCAACATATTCTGTTACACCAAATACACAAAATAATGATCTTTAAAATAGCATCATATGACCCCTTTAAAAAGACTAAATTAATAAGTTAAACTGAATTTTTGTCAAAAAATGTTTTTTACAGAATTTTCAATTTGGCATGAAAATAATTATCGTAATCGTCCAGAATTTTAATAGTAGTGAATCCCTACTAGTATTTATTGCTGTTCACTTTTGGCTGGATCAATCGAGATGAATGTTGCCAGGTGTAAAGGAGATTGTTGTATGTGCGATTGCTTTTCAATGTGAACTTTCTCTGGTTTCATCCACAATAGCATTTAGCTTGCTTATTGTACTTTCTACAATCTTTTATCTTGCTTTAATACTTTTTATATATCACACTTTGTCATTGCTGTGACATTATGTTGACCTTTTACGGGTTGACATATTTGTTCTCCTATATTTTGTGTCCTTATATTTCACTTTATCAACATTGTGGATATTGGGGCATTCCTAACTAAGTATATGCCCCTTTTTCTGTTAATTTCTTTGATTTATTCATGAATGTATGTGTTTTTATTTTTTGTTGTGTCTGTGCATTTCATGTACTTGTTCCCATTCTCATTTTCCATTGGTTTAATTGTAGCCCCCTCCCACAAAGCCATGCGTCATGAGACTGTCAGAGCCTGGTTGGACTCGATGTCTGGAGGTAGAGAAAAAAACAAGACCAGCAACTTATATTAGTGCCTAATACATACACACATGAGTGCATGGCAATACTATTGAACACTTAACACCACTGCAATCATTGTTGAACATTTATTGCATGTTAAAACATCACATTCAAATACAAGTTGATGCTACTGCATGCTGGAGTGGCGAGACAGTGTTTGGTGTGATAGCTATTATCAGCTTAATCCAAACACACTGACTAATGCATGCATTTCACATGTTTCCTTAAGCGTTCTTCTGAAATAATACAAATTATAAAATGTACTTAAAAGTAAAACCAGAGTACAGACTGTTAAATAAAGTCATATACACAATTATATTGTTCCAGGATGCGTGTGGTGCATCTGTGGAGGACACAAAGTGCTTGTTGTGTGACATAATTGCAAGGCACTTCATCTGTACAGTGCAAGGCCACAGAGAGGTCAAAACCAAAGTTTTTTTTTGTGGTACAGAGAGCGGACACGCAAAAGATACAATAGCCTTGAGCATCTCACAGATGTGCAAGAAGGAAATAGACTGAAAAGGTTGCATACTATTCTGAGGCTTGCAAAAAATCTCTACTCAAGTTCAGAACTTTTGTCTGAATTATATCGTTAATGAATTAAAAAAGTGGTGGTGTGTGGAAGGGGGTGTCTCAGATAAATCTCCCTCTTTATTTATGTTTGTAATGTTCAGTTTGGTGTCATTGCATTTCATTCACAACTCTTTACTCACTCCTTCTCAACAGCTGCTGATTTTGAGCCCAGTCCATTTGACTATTGTAAATGGATACTTGCATGTATTTAAATACTAATCCCATTTGTTTATTTCTACATTTTGTCATGTGCACTCATTGTACTGTATGTTTACTTTAATGTTCCCTCAAGACCATCGTTTATTAGCTACATGATTAATACATTCTGTGCTTGTTCTTTTTTTTCTTTTTTTTTTGCACACATTCATTATTTAGCTGGTTTGTGTTGCTTACACCTTGTGCGCACGGAAGGTCTTCTAATAGTCATGAGTATAGTTTAACAGTTTTTACCTTTTCTTTTAGACTTTTGCCCAACATATTCAGCTTATTTTTCTTCTCCTGTGATCCCAGAGCCCTGTGAAGAGGATGATGACCCAGAAGCAGAAGCAAGCAGTCCTGACTTTGAGCCAGGCACTGAAATAGATCAAGGTTTGTCAAGTCCATTTTTCTATTTACTTGCTGTGATATCATTATGCCTTCAGAAAGGTTACGGAGTTAACTGTTGGAATTTAATTAACTGAAAACACCTTTCACTCCTTTCCTAAATAAAATTAGGTTTACAGACTTGACATTTAAAGATCATCCCCTACTGCCAAATATACGATAAATTTGTTTTATGTAAGTTAGTTACTTTCAGTTGTCCTTGAAAGGATTATGTTTGCAAAAAAGCTTTCCCTTTTTGTAATTTATTTTGATTATTTAAAAAGGCTAAATAGGGTTGACACAACCTGGTGCTTTTTTAATAATACATTGTCTACAGAAATTAATACAGACAAAATGGTTGCTTTTAAAATATGTATTTCCATGTATTTTAAACAGGCTTTCACACTGTTTTAATTTGTTTAATGTCACAGAGGACATTCCCTCAGATGCAGAGGCTGAAGCTCGTTCAAGTTGCATAGATGAAGTGGTGACGCTTCCAGTGGATAATGGCAAAGCAGAGAGCCAGGGACATGTTTCTAACACTGGTAATCATAACCTAATCATAATCATATAAATTCATGCCTTTTCCATTTCTGTTTGAGACTGATGATTGCAAATGTTCATGCACTTGCATAACTTGTGTCTCTGAACACATTACATCAATGTCTTGCTTCATAATTATGCAGGCTTTGATGATTAAAATCTCAACACAAGGGGATTTTCGATGTCCATCAATATTTGAGCCAATTTAATTTTTCTTCGCAGAGAAAACATCTGCAAATCCAAGGGAATTGATTGTGAACGTTGTGCTGTCTCCAACCCAAAAACCTGCTTTACCCATTGAAGAGGTAATACGGGGTTGTGAAATCAAAATGTCTTAGACCTCACTTTTTTGCTTGGTATTTAAAATGACAAAAGCCTCTGCATACTATAAAATTCTACCATTCGTTTTCTCTTTCTACAGGTGAAAGAAGTTTCTCCTGTTATTCTAGTTAAATCTCCTGGTGCACGGTTTTTCCCTGAGCCCTATCTACCTGATAATGTCAAACCGAAAATTCCCCTTGATGCTAAAAATCCCCATTCTCCTGTTGCTCAAATTGTTGCGCTATCGCCCATCTGTTCCCAACCTGTTTCACAACCAGAGACAGCGAATCCCAAATCTCCTGTCCAGCCCGAGCCTTGTGCCTGCTCTCCAACAGGTAATCCTTTATCTCCAATATGTACCCAGTCACAACCCTGCCACGAGCCACCCTCACCCCTCTCCACAAGCTCCCCTGTCAGGACTCAGCCAGTCCCAGCAGTCACTTCCACTCCTTTGGCTAAACCTGCTTCTGAGAAGAGAACCAATGAACCCTTGAAAGATTCAGTGCCTGAGGAAACCCCCGTCAGGAAAACAGACCTCATTGAGGAGTTCTGGTTGAAGAGTGCAGAGATCAGAAAGAGTTTAGGACTCACTCCACTGGAACGAAGCAAAACGACAGTGGAGAAGAGCATTGTGAAAACTCCAACGTCTGAATCATCATCTCCAAAGTCTTACACCCCAGAGGACTTTTCTGAAGAGCAGAAGCCTACTTTCACAGGCCGTTCTATCATACGCAGAATTAACATTACCTTGGAGGGTCAGGTTATATCTCCGGTGGAACCTAAGAGTAATAGTTCTGAGAAGAAAGACTTGAGCAGCAGTTCTGGGTTGGGTCTTAATGGAAGCGTGACTACCAGTCAGACAGCAGCTAGTGACAGCTACAACAACTCTGATTCTACCATGCTAACCCCTCCTTCCAGTCCCCCACCACCTCCACCTAATGAGAAGCCAGCTTCGCTCCAAAACAAAAGGCCTCAGGTGTCCTGGGACAACCTCCTTGAAGCCACAGAGGAACCTAAACCTGAGACTACACCCCCTAAACCGAAGACTCCAGTTAGTCCTCCTCAACCAAAACCAGTTACGGCTCCAGTTCCAGACCCTAGAACTAACCCACCTGTTGTTATGAGGGTAAAGGAACCGAATAAACCACGCTGTGAAGAAGTGAGAAAGTCTTTTGTGGAGTGTGTAGATGAGATCCCATTTGCTGATGACGTTGAAGACACGTACGATGACCGCACTCCAGACACAAGTGGTCTGGAAAAATTTTCCACCCCGCCAACCAGCAAGGTCAACCGGGAGAAACCGCCTTTGCACTTGGCGCTGGCAATGGAAAATGGCAAGCCCAATGTACCTGGTGGAGTTTCCCGGACAGCAAAGGGTCCCCAAGATTTTTCTCCAGAAGCCAAGGAGATCGCAGAAGAGCGAATGAGGGCACGGGAAAAGTCTGTGAAGAGCCAAGCTCTAAAGGACGCCATGGCCAAGCAGCTTACTAAGATGAAAGAATCAGATGCTGCCAAGGGTGCTGTGGCAAAAGTAGCCTGGAATGTTCCTGAGACAACAGGGAAAAACAAAAAGCAATCAAACACACCCAAGGACTCTGCAGTGAAGGCTTTGGAGTCCAAAAAGCAGACAGACACACTACCTGACCGTTTCTTCACCACACCAACCAGTAAGAACTTGGACAGTTCTGTCACATCTTCAGAAAGCTCAACAGGGGGCAAAAGCAAGAAGCGCAGCTCACTGTTTTCTCCACGCAAGAACAAAAAGGAAAAGAAAGCCAAAAATGAAAGGCTCTCTGGCACAGAAGAGACTCCACCCAAACACAAGTCCCTGTGGAAGACGGTGTTCTCTGGTTACAAGAAGGACAAAAAGAAGAAAGACGGCAAGTCATGCCCAAGCACACCTTCAAGCTCTACAACTGCAGACTCAGGGAAGAAGAAAGAATCACCACTGGACAGGTCCTCAGGTCAGCTAGAAATGTTTCATTTGAACAGCTCCCCCTTTGTCAGAATTCGTCCTTGTCTATGCTAGCTCTGTTCCAAAATTCCTAAATTTCACAGCATCAAAACCTTCATTGAACCTCATTAGTGACCGTTTTGGAATGCTCCACGTGGTTGGATTCAACTCGCAAATAATTTCATTGGATAATGTTGTGATACCTTTAACAAGCATGAAAGTACATTGCACAAAATATTGTGTAAATATGCTTTTTTATACATACATTGAGCTAGGATTATTAATACTTCATGGTGTTGATTGAATAATTTGTTGCTCTGTAATCAACATCTTGCCTCATCCAAAAATTTGGATTTGTTTGCTTCCTTTAATTGTCACAGTGCATTGTGGGTTTCCCTTTTTTCACAAAAAGTATATTTGTGATGCTACTTTAGAATTTGGTGACCATTAAAACGGCTCACTTCAGACCCTCATGGGTTACGTTCAAATCTTGCAGAATTTGGCTAAGTTTATTTAACTTACACATTTTCTCAAAGTCTCTTTCAACTGGTGATTTTCTTAAGCAAAGTTCTCTCTAATTTACTGATGTAGATTTACGTCTGAGGAGAAATCTCAGCTTTTCTGAGGACTCTGATCTCTCCTGTGACGATGTTCTGGAAAGATCCTCTCAGAAGTCCAAGGGTGATGTAAGTATATAATATTTAAAGAGCCTCTTTTTTCATTCGAGTCAAATGTATGTATTTTTTTTCTGCAGTCTCGAATTGTAATGAAATCTTTTACTCTTCTCAGCGCCATGTGGACCTGTTTGACTTGGTATCAGATTTTAAAAAAGAGGCAATTAAAGAGGAGAAATCCAAAGAGAAGGATAAGGACAGGGTGAAGGAAAAAGGAAAAAGAGTAACAGAGAAGGGCAAGGAAAGGTCAAAAGAGAAGGAGAATGAAAGAAGAGTCAAAGAAAAGATTGTGAAAATGAAGGATGTGCAACAGGAGAAAGGAAAAGAGGAAGAGGTATTTGTGATGTATTGTACAGCAGCTAGAAGCTACTGGGTTTCAGACAGAACATGAATGCAACACTATGCCAAAAAAAACAAACAGTAAAACCATGTTAAAAGATATTGTACAGCATTCTGTTTCATTCATAACCAGTAAGAAATTAAGTATCTTTAGCATTGCTGTGTTTGTGTAAAGGTGAATAGAGAGTGGAATAGAGAGTGTAGAAGAACAAAAAATCATAGTGTCCACCAGAATTCATAGAATTAAAAAATAAAAGTTATAGTAGGCACTTTTAGAGTGCAGTGTTCACTTGGCTTTCATAACTAGCCTAGTTGTGGATATGAAGCTGTGGTCGTGACACAGGTAGTTTGTGTTGTTGTGGTTGCTGATGTTATTTTTGTTTTTAAGTGTTCTGTTTGTCCAGATTATTATTTTTTGTATTACTATTTTAGTTTAGTTTTGTTTTTTCAAGACAAATTTGCCTTTGGTTTAGTCACTGATTCAGTAATGTTTTAGTATGTACTCTTACCCTCCATCAAGTCTTTTAGAGTAATCTTTTAGTCCAAAAGGTCCAAAATTAACTTTTTGCCACACTTGCAAATGGTGGGTGAAATTTGTTTTAAAATTATTATTCCTTTTCTTACTAGTTTTGTTGGTTAATGTTTTGTTGGTGATGAATATTTCATGTACTGTCTGTAGCCAAGTTTCCATCCAGTTTTTGCGCTGTTTTGTTATCGACAAAGAGAATATGTGTAAAGAAACTTTGCCAAAATTGCTGTCTACAGACTGTTTCCATCCAACTGGCCTTTTACCGATAAAATGGTGTGTGTGACGACGTCATCCCTAAAAAAACGAATTGTCGCATAAGTTTTGGTGTATCGCAAAAAAAAACATTGCCCTTGAGCTGTTTCCATACATAATTTCACCTATTGTGTAAATTATATAGGCTAGTAGCCTGTTCTTCATCCATTTGAAACAAAACTTTATTATATAGCCTATTATTAAATTGTATAGGCCTGCATAAAATTATTTTTAACAAGTGTCATGAGTTTTTTTTTATTTTTTATTTTTTGTACTTTGTTATAGACTATTTAGATACTTGATCATCAAGCATTATTCATAAATAGGTGCAGTTGTATTAGCCGATCATTATTTTTCTGATGAACTTTGAGGAAATGTTAATTTCGGTTATTTCTCCTAACCAACATCCGACGGTCGTTAAGCCATTATTAACCGACAAGATTGTTAAATTACATTCGCGCGAACATAAATGCATTTAAGCAGATCGGGGATCGGCACATCCCCTTCAAAAACGAAAGTAACGTTAATCCTCTGTGTCTTCAGTGGCTCAGATGTCGGGAGTAAATGACGACTGCTATGTTCATTATTACATCCAACATCAAAACATCTCAATCGCTTAGGAGACATTTTTGTCTTCCCCTGCACCGGAGTCGACACAATGGCGGACAGCTCACAGGCAGCTCACTCAGGGCGGGTCGAAGGTAAGACGGCCTTGCCAATCAACTATCGTGGGAGGGGCCTGTGCAGAACTACGTCATTCTGACAGGAATCTCAGAACAGCCTGATTTGAGAAAGGGGATTTTAAAATAGGGATTTAAAAAAAAACACTGGGTGGATTTTTATCATTATTGGGTGGATGTGTACACACACTTCCAACACGCATTTATGTTCAAACAACAACAAAAGTGAATTTTGCATCCGATGACCCCTTTAATGAACTGACAATCAGTGTGATCTCTGCTCACTTTTATTACTTCTGCTTTGTGTCACAGGGACATGAATATTACAATCCCCAGAAAAAGAATTACATCTTCTTGAGGAATGCAGCTGAGGAACTGAAGCCTCGGAACAAGAAATGGTGAGAGCGGGATATCCATTACCACGGAGAAAGTGTCTTTCTCCGGGCAGGGGCAGGTGTGCTGCCTGACTTGCACCGACTTTGCTTTCTGTGCAGTTGTGATGCTTTCTGAGTCCTTCTTTGGTATCTCATGATGCATTAATATGTTGCTCTTAGCTCACAGGGATGAATTCTGAAGAAACAGCATCTTTTCTAAAATGGTATATGTTCCCTTCACTCCACAACAAATGCTTTAAATTTAACGGTAGAACAGAACTCAGAACAAAACAAAAATAATATAAGAAGCTACTAACAAGCCAAAACGAATTAATAAAAAATGTTGTACTTCGCGTTCCAATATCCACGTAAAACAAAATGTGCTTGGCATAGTAAATTCACGGGGGTATGGTGGTCACGCTGAATGGCACGGACTACAGACTATTTAAACTGAGCAGTGTACTGTAAAAAATTACGAAAACGTAGGCTACTAAAGGAACATCAAATTAAGATAAGTATGTTTGAGAGGTAACTTGTGTTTTTCTTAACAAATATAACATTTTAGATGCAATTTAATAATATGAATATGATTTAATGCGCTTTTAAACTACAGGGAAACGGTGCTTTAACCTGAGCAACACCATGAACGCGAACACTGCCTATAGGCTAATTCTGCCATGTGACACCACATTTATTTGCGTTAAAGCCCCTTTTCTTGACAAAAAGTGTTTCCAAACAATTTGTATTCTCCAGTGTCTCCTCGTCCCTCGTGTGTGTGCACCCGTGACACCTATAGGCTATTTCTGCCATGTGACATCACATTTATTTGCCTTTAAAGCCCCTTTTCTCGACAAAAAGTGTTTCCAAATAATTTTTTGCGACATTTGAAATATCGATATAGAGTTTATGTGCTAAAGTTAAACGGAAAAAGATAATGTCGACACATGATAAATTTTATCGATAAATGGCATTTCCATCAGCTATATTGGTAAAAAATTTGAAGCGCTAAATATTTTTTCGTACAAAAACCTTGGATGGAACCCTGGCTTGTGTTGCCACATGAGAAGAATTTTGGTTGGCGGATGTTAATTTTGGACCCTGAGTATAATTGTGTTGCACAAAACACGGTCACATTAATTTGTACATTTGCACTCATCCCAGCATCCTTAAATGTTAAGTCTTGTGTTTGTGTGTTGCCGTAGAATCCTGATTTTGTTTAATTGTACATTAACCCATCTAATCGCATAATATTTGTTTTGTTTGTTTTCTTTTTTTAATTTATTTTTCTAAGTCTGTTTATGTACCTCATGCATTGGCGTTCAAGAGATCGTATGCCACAAAGGTAGTGTTCATTCATTCCCATTGGTCTACCCGTTTTACGCATGTCATATCACACCGTCATGCCTAACCCCTTATTGTTGGTCAGAATTTGTTTGCTTTATTGTATTACTAACCGTTTTCTGCTGCATGGTGAAGGCTAAAGCGCCCCCTTTCTGCTGGAGGATGTAACTGTATCACATAACATTCTCAAAAGGCTTTTTGGCTGTTTACCTGCATACTATTTTCTATACTGTGTACCTCACTGGTTTACATGCAACTTGTTTTTCTTTCATAGCTTCTACTATACTTTCTTAAAGAATCTCTCCAGTCAATATTTTTTTTCTATGTCTGTCTTACACTTTATTACAATTTATTGGCTGTGTGCAATATATCAATGAAATGCACAGACAACTCTATCTATCTATCTATCTATCTATCTATCTATCTATCTGTCTGTCTGTCTGTCTAGTCTGCAGATTTAAAGTTTGAGTCAAGACTTTTTTTGTTAGTATTACATTTTTGAGTCCCTTGTTTGTGCTAATTTCAGTTGTAGTAAATTTGTGAATAATGTATTTTTTAATGGAGAATGGAGTACTTAATATACTGAAGAACTTGAGTGTTTAATTATTTGTTGAATTTCCAGCAAAAACACACACATAGTACCATTATTGTGATAAAAGTTACTTGTACTGTGATATGCTTGATTATTATGACTTGATTATACTGCCAAAATCACATCTAGAGGTGCTATTGTAAGTCAAGTACTTCAGTCTGTTGTAGAAGTTACATAGCTTTGACATTAGGCTTTGTTTTAGACTCTGCTGTAGTCTTCTATTACACAAACCCCTGCCGTAGACATCCATGTGATGCCAGACAAGGATCCATCTACAACTGACCTGGACATAGCTTACAGGAGCGCTGGATCTGATTTTTAATTTCCTGTTGCAGAAAACATACACAGAGGAGGAACTCAATGCCAAGTTGACAAGAAGAGTACAGAAAGCTGCACGGAGGCAGGCCAAGCAAGAGGAGCTCAAGAGACTCCACAGAGCCCAGGTGAAAGCATACTAATGACTTTTTCGCATGAGGTTGTCAGAAAGCTGAATTTCAGCCATCACCTTGCAGAGGAATAGACTGTGAAATTAAAAAATTAACTAGAAGTTGCTTTTTGATTCCTCAGATCATTCAGAGGCAGCTGGAGCAGGTGGAAGAGAAACAGAGGCAGTTAGAGGAGAGAGGTGTCGCTGTGGAAAAGGCATTGCGAGGGGAAGCAGGTATTTCTCTCTTTCAGTCTCACTTTATTCCTCAGATGCGCTGCTGAAGGGTTAATGCCGTGGAGCAGATCTTCATAACTCATGCTTTTCTATGTAGTTATACTTTGACCTTTAGGTCAGAGCTGCTTGCTGTTTTTTCTAGATTCAAGCTTCAAACTACAGTGCAGACTTAAAAGGATGTAAAATTGTTTATGCATCATTTTCCTTGTGATTAAAAGCCATTTCGTTATCTTGGGTTAGTATTCTTAGTATTCATAGTAAAGTAATGCCTTTTTTTTTTACATTAATTTTGCTAGAAACTTTTATCTCATTACTAAATGTATAACACTCTGTCGGGTTCCACACTGACATAACATTAGAATTACATTCAGAATTCCCATGGTTATGGAAAACCTGGAAATGTCAGGGAATTTTAAAATTGTGATTTCCAGGCCTGGAAATAGGCACTTATAATTATTTAAACCTTGGAAGTCATGAAAAAGTCATAGACATTTTGGTAGTGAATTTCTTTTTTCTAGTTATGCTCAGCTCTAAATAATTCATATGCCAGAATTGCTTTTTGAGCTCTCCAGTTGAGCTGCAAATGAATCTCAAGGCATTTTTCATTTTCCTGGACACATTTTTACATTTATTTAAACATTATTTAAATCTACTAAGTCCAAGGATTTGTACCTGACATACAATTGGACCTGCCCCTGCAATCACTGTAAAATAGTGTTGTTGTTTTTTTAATCCCTATTCACTAGAAGTCTTCAAGAGTATTTTTAAGTCTTGAAGTCTTTATTTGAAAATGTAAATATATGTGTATATACACATTAGAAAGATTTTTTTTTTTTTTTCAAACATTGCAGAAAATATTGCAAAAACTGCAGTATATAATGCTTCTAATAAATCAAATAAAGGTATTACAAAATTAATGTTTTGACAATACCACGGCTGTTCTTATATTTTATTTTTTCTGCATTAAATTGCATATGACAAGCTATCACAAATTTGGATTTTCCTTTTGATGGGTGCTACAGTAACAGCTGAGAGAATTACTAGAATCTATTTCATTATTGGATTCAAAGAAAATGGTTTCCTGTTGCAAAATGTGAACAGATCATATTAACAAAATCAAGTAGCTGTAGCTGTAACAAATAAAAATTTCTGAAGTTGATTTGTAATTTCCAGACAGTAGGGTGATTATAGGCAGTAAAAGAAAAATTCTGAATTATTGCCTCCTCTCTCACCTCCCCCTCTCCCCTCCATCCCATCTTTTATATCTAGTGTTTCTTAATCTCTTTTTATCCTTTACTCTCTCTAAGGGTTGTATAAAGGTTCTAGTGTTAGTCCAAAACAGCGTAAGAGGCGCTCAGGTATCCATGGTGATAATAACTAGTAGTTGTTGTAGTCGTCGTCTCAGCGTATCGTGCCATTCTCATGCCGAACATCGTCTCTCCTCACGTGTGTCTCAACTGCATGCCCCGTCAATCCGATCACGCCAAACATAGATTTGTATGCTGCATCACTGGATGTGAGCCACTATAAATGTAAAAGTATTATAGGCTGTTTCTTTGATTTTGGATCTATATCATTCCGTTTTGTGAATCCTAAAGCATCCCAAGTGATCTGCTAAATGCTATATTCATGTTTTGTTGTTTAGCATAACACATATTCACAGGCCGTACAGATTATCTGTAGCATTTAGGGTTAAAATGCTTGATATACATTGAATAAAAGGAGTTTTTTTTAGATAGACAGATAGGGTTTTAGATACAAAAACATACTCACACTCCAAAATCTGTTGTGTCCCTTGTGGCAGAACACAGCAGTGCAACAAATCTATGTGCTCATCTACCATTACAGGACATGCAATATTAATGCAATTAACTACGTGTTTACATGCCAAATAACAAGTGTGATTAGTGTGTATTCGGCATACCTTACTGTGTGAGCGTGTGTGTTTGTGTGCAACGTGCATGACTTGAAGCTACTGGCTGTGCCTGTGTGTGCAGTAACATGTTTCTAATATATCCTTATTATAGACTATTGGGGAGAGTCTAATTACAGTGAGATCCTGGATTTGCATCTGGGCGGTATGTATTTCAAATCTGTTGCTTGAAATGGACTAACATCTGACGCCCTCTCTTTTCCCCCTTTACTTACTGAGTCTTCCCTCTGCCTAAATACTCTGCCTAATAGTCATTTTATCCTGCTTAATGTTAATTCACTTTATGTAATTTATAAATTTTACGAAATGTTTATAGTTGTATTTTAAATAGTTTTTTTATTTTATTTCAGATTTTATTTTAAGAATTAATTATTATTAGTTATTTATATTTTATTTCATATACAGGTTTCATTTTTAATGAGTGTATCATTTTTATAAACTATATTATTACATGTAATAAACAATTATATAATAATTTAATGTATTTTAGTTTTTTTTAAGTGACAATCATTAGAATCAAAGCAAAAATATATTATTTCGTATCAGTTTTTGCTCAAAAATTGCTCGCTTGCAAATGGCCCTGGCATTATATTTGCTTTCAGTTTTAATCTTAGTTTTCAAACTAAAAATGTGCTATTAATATACAGCAGCATCTGAAATCCTAAATGCTTAAACAATCAAATAAATGTTTGCAATCCTGATTAAGCCCTCCCCTCTAGCCTTTTGTAGAGCCTATGGCTGTCTGCTTTACCCGCCAGCACATTAGCTTTCATATTTTCCTCCCATACCTGCTCAGTTGTTGCATAGGGGCCCCGGGCCCCGAGAGATCCCAGTGTTCAGTGCATCATTACTCATTGCGATTGATCATGTGTGGTTCGTCTTCACTGTGTTCCCTAACCTTATATCTCACGCTGTGGATCTGTTGAGTGCTTGTTTGAATGAGTGTATTGTCTTGTGGCGTCTCGTTGATCACACTGTGAAGTTCCAGGCAAGCCATGCCGAGATCACCCAAGCAGACAGGAGATAGCGTGGAGCGCTGTTTGTGATGGTGTATAAATTACCCATTGTTTTTAAAGGACATTGAGGCATTGTTTAAATCATCTTATGAATCTTTTTCAATGCAACACGATGTTTCTTAAACGTAGCATGCCAAAAAGCTATTGGAAGGTAACAAGGGTTATTTCAGGTGGTAGTCTTTACATATGCTAGGAAAGAGTATTGTTTAATTAGGAAACCCAGGTAAGTAAAACATATGCACATTTTATAAATGTTCTAGTAAATAGTCTCAAGACGTTGATGGAAAAAGCATTTGAAATCCAAAAGCAAGCTAAATTCACCAAAGTTCGTATGACTTCTGTTTGGCGTTTTAATGCTGCAACCCCATAATTGCTTCTTGTGGCCACATTTTCTTTCATTTTTGTAACAGTTGCACAGAGATTAAGTGGCTACTATGTGAGCTGTTCGCTTAGATTGATTTTCCTGTAAAAGTGAGTTTTTTTCATCACAAACTAGTTGGTGGCGGACCTGCTAACAGTTGGAGGATTTCTTGTAATCCGAGCCCAAAAATACTTTGCATAATTACTGTCAGCGTTCTGAGGCCTAAGCCATCTCTTGGCAGGAAAACTTGGTTGTCTTATCCAAAGCAATATAGTTGTCCCCATTTTTGTATCCAATTAAAAAAAACTTCTGAAAGCTTTTGTTGATTTCTGTGTAACTTTGCATCAGTGTGCGTTTGTTTATGGCCTGTTTCCCATGGGTCGTTTCCATGCATGTCTGCATAAGAATGTGAGCTTGTTGCTTTTCATGGATAATTAGTTCCCTGATTCTTCCCATAATTGCAGAGGATGAGCCAGCGATATGAGATGATGCTGTTTAAGACGAGTACTCAGTGCATGTTAGATTGAAACAGATCCTTTCAATGAAATGCCCCTTTTAATGTTTATTTGCTTTGTATGTGTTGATGAGGTCAGAATAGGGGTCACTTACGTAGAATAGGAAACTAAATATGTCCTCAGCCTTCACATAAGGCGGTGTTGTATAAGTGCTGATTAGTTTCTGAATGCAGACAAGGTCGCAGTCGAGCTTTCGAGGGTTGCGTTGACAAACTCCTCTGCGATAGTCCCTTGTTGTGAATTACACGACATCTCATCCAATTGGTTCAGCATTTTAAGACCATTCTGTCTTCCCAGCTATGCAGAGCACAAAGAATTGTACAAGGATCTGCCTCTTAATTTGCTCCAACTGGCGAAATCCTTTAAGGTCTCTGCACACTGAGTCCAAATTTTTCGTCTGAAATTTTCGCACGTTGAAAAATAAATACGACCTCACGTTGTGTCAATCACGTTTACACACTGCCTTCGAAACTTTCGTCCGTCATAAACAAATTCGGACCAGGTTCGATTTTCTACGTTTTCGCATCCGTAGCAAGCATTTTGATAGGAAAGGATGACGAATACGAAAAAAACCGGAAAAACGCATACAAAAGTTTCAGACTCAGTGTGCAAGGACCTTTACGAAAATAGTTCCAAACAAAGATCACAGCACTGTTTTGCATCTCTGAGCAATGGACTATATCTCACGCTGTGGATCTGTTGAGTGCTTGTTTGAATGAGTGTATTGTCTTGTGGCGTCTCGTTGATCACACTGTGAAGTTCCAGGCAAGCCATGCCGAGATCACCCAAGCAGACAGGAGATAGCGTGGAGCGCTGTTTGTGATGGTGTATAAATTACCCATTGTTTTTAAAGGACATTGAGGCATTGTTTAAATCATCTTATGAATCTTTTTCAATGCAACACGATGTTTCTTAAACGTAGCATGCCAAAAAGCTATTGGAAGGTAACAAGGGTTATTTCAGGTGGTAGTCTTTACATATGCTAGGAAAGAGTATTGTTTAATTAGGAAACCCAGGTAAGTAAAACATATGCACATTTTATAAATGTTCTAGTAAATAGTCTCAAGACGTTGATGGAAAAAGCATTTGAAATCCAAAAGCAAGCTAAATTCACCAAAGTTCGTATGACTTCTGTTTGGCGTTTTAATGCTGCAACCCCATAATTGCTTCTTGTGGCCACATTTTCTTTCATTTTTGTAACAGTTGCACAGAGATTAAGTGGCTACTATGTGAGCTGTTCGCTTAGATTGATTTTCCTGTAAAAGTGAGTTTTTTTCATCACAAACTAGTTGGTGGCGGACCTGCTAACAGTTGGAGGATTTCTTGTAATCCGAGCCCAAAAATACTTTGCATAATTACTGTCAGCGTTCTGAGGCCTAAGCCATCTCTTGGCAGGAAAACTTGGTTGTCTTATCCAAAGCAATATAGTTGTCCCCATTTTTGTATCCAATTAAAAAAAACTTCTGAAAGCTTTTGTTGATTTCTGTGTAACTTTGCATCAGTGTGCGTTTGTTTATGGCCTGTTTCCCATGGGTCGTTTCCATGCATGTCTGCATAAGAATGTGAGCTTGTTGCTTTTCATGGATAATTAGTTCCCTGATTCTTCCCATAATTGCAGAGGATGAGCCAGCGATATGAGATGATGCTGTTTAAGACGAGTACTCAGTGCATGTTAGATTGAAACAGATCCTTTCAATGAAATGCCCCTTTTAATGTTTATTTGCTTTGTATGTGTTGATGAGGTCAGAATAGGGGTCACTTACGTAGAATAGGAAACTAAATATGTCCTCAGCCTTCACATAAGGCGGTGTTGTATAAGTGCTGATTAGTTTCTGAATGCAGACAAGGTCGCAGTCGAGCTTTCGAGGGTTGCGTTGACAAACTCCTCTGCGATAGTCCCTTGTTGTGAATTACACGACATCTCATCCAATTGGTTCAGCATTTTAAGACCATTCTGTCTTCCCAGCTATGCAGAGCACAAAGAATTGTACAAGGATCTGCCTCTTAATTTGCTCCAACTGGCGAAATCCTTTAAGGTCTCTGCACACTGAGTCCAAATTTTTCGTCTGAAATTTTCGCACGTTGAAAAATAAATACGACCTCACGTTGTGTCAATCACGTTTACACACTGCCTTCGAAACTTTCGTCCGTCATAAACAAATTCGGACCAGGTTCGATTTTCTAAGTTTTCGCATCCGTAGCAAGCATTTTGATAGTAAAGGATGACGAATACGAAAAAAACGGAAAAACGCATATGAAAATTTCGGACTCAGTGCGCAAGGACCTTTACTCTGGTGCCAATCATTCTTCTGACGTTCATTTGACGCTTTTTTTTGGTCTAGAGGTTTGACACCCGCCATATAGATGGCTGATTTCCACATCAGACGTAGTGAGAGGATTGAGAAATCCAGGAACATCCCCAAAGATGATATAATAATTCAACCTTAGCTCTTAAAATCCAAATTTTTCAGGAGAGCTACAGCTGCATACTGTACTTCTTTGATGTAACTTGTGCAGACATTAGGTTTGCTCTCAAGCCGTCACTTATTTGCCCTCAGTAGTGCACAGAAGGAAAAGTTCAAAGAGTAACGTGATATTTCCCCTCTCTTCCTCAGTTCATTCATGTTTGCGCTCTGTCCCGTGTCATTTCCCCCGCAATATGTCGCATCGCACTGCTGCTTTCAGTTTCTCCCCAGAGTTCTTTCTCTTTTTGATTTCGCTCCTCACTTTTTTTCTCTTCCACATCTCTTTCTTTCTTGATTTCACCCTTCTGGTCACCTCCACCACTCTGTTCTCTCTCTCTCTCTCTCTGCTATCTCTCTCTCTCACATTCCTTTCCTGTGTTGTGGAAGTTGAGCCCTATGTCGGGACCCCTCGCCGAAGAGCCCTGTACCTCTGCCCCTGCTGTGCCCCTGAAGGTAACGTAAACCCCGTCATGTTTGCTGCCGGCCAGCTATGTTACCATAACAACATGGCCAGCGGCGTCACTTTGACAATCCACTGGACCTGTGGAGTATTGCTTTTGCCCTTCAACTACAAAGTCTACTCCTCTCCCCTGCCCATGTGTGTCCAGGCTTAGCAGATTTCCCCCAGCAGATTGCGTCAGTGCTTCTGATGTACAAACACAAATTTGTAGCAGCAGTAGGGCTGGATGATATTTTTCAGGCCTTTTGCCAGTATTCGATTCCATATCTAAATTAATGCATTTGCTGCAAAATGTTATAAGACATTATTTAATTTTTAATGTTTTAATATATGAAAATATTTTATTAATATTTTATGTAATCATTTATTATATTTCAGCATTTGATTTGATTTTGTGTCACAAAGCATTTTTTTATTTAGTGGTGTTATTAATTAGAGTTATTTATATCTAAAGAAAAAAATCGTAATTTCTTAAAATTTTTGCCTAATCGCTTGTTTGCAAATGGTTTTGCCGTTTTTTTAACTTTCGGTTTTAATGATAGTTTTGAAACTAAAAGTGTGCCAATAAAATGTAGCAGCACAAATCCAAAATGCTTCAATAGTCCGATGTAGCTAGCTGTAACAGATGTAGCATATTTTATTTTGTTTATGTAGTTGCCAAGTAGATTCCGTATGCTTTAAGCAAGAAGCAACATTTTAATTTTATTTATATGCACAAACATTGTAATAAGCAGGAATACTATGTATTACATTTTAAAACTTGTGTATGTGCCATGCAAGGATTTTCATGAACAGTTGACCCAAATAAACTGTTCAATCAGCATTCGAGTCAGGAAATTTGAAAGAATTGATTCAGGCGAGGTAATCAAATTTGCCCTCACTGTCAGAATTGTATGCTATTAAAATTCTATATCAGCAACAAAAAATCGAATATGTGGTAAATGTTTGGTATATCACCCAGCCCTCAGCAGTAGCAGCATACATTAGGCACATATTTTGGTTTCACATATCAAGGTTCTACTTTTATTTTCTATACACTTTACTTTAGACTTCCTAAAGAGGATAAGCACAGCATGAAATGCGTTTTCAATTAGTACATTAGAGCAGACCTGATACAATGACAGACTGTGTTTTTTGGGGGAAACTGCTCTGCTGACTGTAAGTGTGAATTAAAATAACAGCATGATTGTCGTTTGCTCTTCCCGAGTTCTAAAACTGTCAGCGTTTTACCTGTCCCAACCTCACAGCTCCTTTACAGAGCTGTATCATAGACTATATTCACTGTGTTCATATGTTTCCATAACACTGATGATTTGTTATGAAGGATAGCATGTGTAAGAGGAACACAATAGGAAAGTGAGGTCTCCAAACTTGGTAGTCCTTTTTATGTCTTTGTCATACAATTACATTCAAATTTAAAGTCAACATGAAATCAGATGTTTCATTTTTTTTTTTTCCATTTTATTTTGTTTTGATTTTATTTCAGACTCTTGGACTTAATGCAAATGTTATTCCAAACATTTTTTTTTCCTTATCAGAATAATAACTTTATCTTTACTTTTCTGATAAAACAATCAAGGCCAATATGTTGGGGGAAAAAAATATTGCACAAATTATTTATCAAGCTGTTGTTTTGTAAGTAATGCATTTTTAAAAGACCTTCCAGCAATGCTTTAATTTTATTCAAATGTTTGCTTTAAATAGTTTTTATTTTATTCCTGTTTGATTAAATAATGATAATGATGATGATGATGTGTGTACGTGTTATTATTTGACATTATTTTATTATGCATTATGTGTAATGCATAATAAAATAATTTTAATAATTATAATTTGATAAAATAATTACTATTACTATACTATATCACGTTACTGATTTATTTCATACTTAATATATTTGATATTATGTACTATATGAGTTATACGATTTAATGCATTTGATAGAGTTTTCTCAATACATTTCGGGTTGAAATATAACAGTATAGAAGTAAAATGGTAGCATAGGACATTTCATGTTGACTTTAAATGCAGCAGCACAACATACAGAAGTTTGGCAACATTGTGTTTTTGTCCCGTTTGTAATCTGGTGTGTGTAACTATGCCTGTGTATAACAGTGCCCTTTTGGCACGACGTTTGCGTGGCTGTTCTGCGACTGTTCTAACTGTGGTTCTTCTTTCTCTGTTCCTCTTGGGAAAAGCATGGGGCTGAGTGGGGGAGGCCACTCACAGTGCGTCCCACTGGATAAGTTTAGCCTCCCTGTCCTCTTGTCTCTGTCTCTCACTGTTTTTATGTCTGAGGACCTCTACTTTGCCTCTGTGTGTTAAAACAGTCAAGGCCAGCAACCGCGAGCACAGCCGTTCGATTTATGTGTGTACTGTCTTTTTCCCTTTTGTGTTGCAAGAGCCGCGCCTCTGTCAGCTAAGTACGTCATGCTCCATCCAGGTTTGCCGTGCGATGGCTCATCTCAGCGCTTGGCTTCACTCGTGTGTTTATGTATGAGATGGGGTTTTCATCGACGTCTGGGACTGTACTAGCATGGGCTGACATATACAGTTGTTCCCACATACAGCCGGTTGACAGTATTCTGCTTTGATCATGGACTTCAGCACATGCCATGAGGCTTTTTTACCTCATGCAAACATTAGAGGAACGTCTAACTGCACTGCAGGTAAAGAATATTGAGTCATGAGCTCAACCCAGAGCGCTTTTTAAAGGAATGTTCCAGGTTCAATGCAAGTTTTATCTGCAAGCTTTTGCTGCGTAATGTTGATTACCACAGAAAGTTATTTTGACTTGTTCTTTTTGTTTTTATAACAAGCAAAAATTGTAGTTGTGTTAAGGCACTTACAGTGGGACAATAAAATTAACATTAAAGTTCAAAGCCATTTTAAAGCTGTTGAAAAGCCAGTGTGATACTAGCAATTTCTGTGTGGAATGTATCCAGAATTATGATAAATGACTTTATCTAGAGAAAATACTTTTTGTTTATTTAATAAAAAATATTGCAATTATTTGTGTAATTTTAAATAAAAATAAGATTATTTTTATACACACATGTGCATGGAGTGTACGTGTGTGTGTATATATATACAATATATATATATATATACAAAACAAAAAGTAGATTTGTATTTATAATAATCATATATATTTTATGTATTTTATTATTTATTAATTATATATAAAAAAGCAAAATCCAGATTTTTGTTTTAATAAATTCAAAAACAGCATTTATTTCAAATAGAAATAATTTATAACTATTTCTTTATGGTCAGTTTTGATTAATTTAATGTATACTAGTTGAATAAAAGTTAAAAAAAAACAACAAAAAAACAGCAGCAACAACAACAAAAACTTTTGAACTGTCACGTGTTATTTATACTTATTTATATTTATATATTATTTGTAAGAAATAATAATTAGCATAAGTTCTTTAGCAAAGATAGAATGCTTCCTGAGATAAGAGTCTAAATTAATTCTTGTGGCAATCAACACTTTGCCAACCTTGCTGTCAGTAGAGCTGAACTTGAACTGAACTGAAACTGGAACATTTCTTTATGATGTACCATAATTATTGCCATGGCATCGGGCTAAAATGGTATACGGTTGGGTAACTTGCATAATTTTTGGAGGAAACCTCCTTGGAGCAAGCTATGGACCCACAAAGGTAAAACCAAGTTTAGATGTTCACACTTTTCGACATATACCTAAGACATTCCCTTGGATTATTGGCTAGCTTTCATAATTAATAAACGTAGTCCTGCAAAAGAAGGTTTTAAAGTTTGAAGCAATATCCACTGCCTTGAAAAAGACCAATGCCTCAGAAGTCCAGTCTGATCAGCATTGATCATGATATGCTGTCCAATCAGAAGCCATACCTCCACGCCATCCTCTGTGAACCCGGCAGGCTCGACCTCATCACGGTCTTCCACATTCCCACCCTACTCTTGCCCTGACAAAGACATCCTGGCTTGGCTGTCATCGCATTTGCTGTGTGGGTGTCTGTGTGTCAGCGAGTGGTTAACTGCCAGGTTCCTCATGCTTCTCCAATGTGTTTCTTGCAGGAATGGGTAAAAAGGACGATCCAAAGCTGATGCAGGAATGGTTTAAACTGGTCCAGGAGAAGAATGCCTTGGTGCGCTATGAATCGGAGCTGATGATATTGTGAGTAGACGTCCAATTTAAGCTTCAGTGCCCATTTCCCATTTCTTAATGCTCTTTAATTTTGACTTAATTTGTTTAGTCTATCTACATTAAGAACTTTTTTCAAACTATTAAAAAAAATTAACTAGAGCTAATTTTATTTATTTATTTAGTTTTTAAAAAACAAAAAATGAATTAAACTCGTATTCTTGTTTGTTAATATTTCTCCGTGTCCAAAAATCTATTACAATCAACTCATTTTCCATTACACTGTTCTTCAAAACAACAGCCAAAAGTGGGATGAAAATATTTGCTGATCCAACTAGAAGTTTTTAGGATTAGGGTGTTTTGACTTTTACATTTGAAGTTAAAGTTAAGAATTTGCATGTTAATGTATGTAAATCTTATTATTATTATTATATTTTTTTTTTCTCTTTTTTTTTTTTCTTCCCCAAGATGTAATATTAACAAACTCCAGTTTATTGTCTGGAGTCTGGATGATTTTATTCATTGTACAAAAGGAACAAATGATTAGTCTTTTTAAACAAGAACGGATGGTCTCTAACGGGCAAATTCGCTGTAGGCAACGACATGGCGCTGAAAGATTATACCAGATGCATTTATTTGATTCTGTTTGTTCTGTTTACATTGTGTGGATACGAGATGCAATTACATAGTGACTGTGCCTCAGATGCAATCAACTGTGCATCTTTGTTTGCAAAGATGAACACCAAATGGCCCATACGCTCAGGCAAAAGACAGTTTCATCAACAAAACCCAAATTACAAAGAGACAATTTCATCAAGAGATTGTGGGCTCTCCATATGGAGATATTAACAGTTTTGCAGTTATAGGCTGTATCATATTTGTCATCAGCTCTTAAGTTCAGTCGGTCAGTATTGGATATGTAATTGTGCATGCTTGTTTCCTATATTTTCACATTTAGATTTTTCCAAATGTAGAATCTTTAATACACTTATTATTTAATAAGACTTGAAAATGTCATCTTTAGCTTATCTCAAAATTAATTTTCATTTTTCATAATGTGCATTTTAAGGTTGTGATGCCTGAATTCACCTGTAGCATTTAAATCTTTGATTTTAAACTTCATTATTTTAATTAATTTAGACAATATCGTAAAGGATTTTAGAATCGGCCACTTAGCAACCATAATATAATTCATTATTAGACAGAATTTTAATAACAGTGCAAGAAGTATATAATTATTAGACAGAATTTTAATAACAGTGCAAGATGTTTAATAACAGAAACAACTGATCAACCAAATAACAGAAGATCCAACAGTGCTTTTAACGTTTGCTTTAGTTCTTCTCAAAGCATGCGGCTTAAAAGTGCATCTGCTCATCCACACTCTCATGTTTGTGTGGACCGTCAAGCATAAACCAAACATTATGGTGCTTTAATGGCAGATGGTTCCATGTGTTCCATACAATGCCTTGATGTCCATGTGTCACATCAAGGAATCCATTATCTTTGATCATCAAAGATTTTTCAAAATACCTCATACAAACTCAATAGTTTAACAGTCATTTGTTCTCTTCTTCCATTTAATTCGACTTCCCCCTTCCTCTCTGCAGTGCTCGTGAGCTGGAGTTGGAGGACAGACAGAGTCGACTGCAACAGGAACTGCGAGAACGCATGGCAGTAGATGGTACTTTGTATTCCAGTATAGGCCTGATCATATTGCAACACCAAAAGAAGTGATACGCATTCTCTTTAAATCAATGTTTCACTCTCTGCAGACCATCTGAAGACCGAGGAGGAACTTGCGGAGGAGAAACAGATTCTGAATGAGATGTTGGAGGTAGTCGAGCAAAGAGATTCTCTGGTGGCCCTGCTGGATGAGCAGAGACTCAGGGAGAAAGAAGAGGATAAAGACCTGGAGGCGGTGATGCTCTCTAAGGGTTTCAACCTCAACTGGGCTTAGCATAACAATGACGAAACGCTTCTGACCGCCAGCGATTCCCAGTTTCACTGCAGGGAGTGTAAAAAATTGCAGAAAGAATCGGTCTGTCTCCCCCGTCGATTTTATTGGGCATGTCAACAACGTTTACAAATCCACTCATGAGCACTATGATGTTTACGAGTTCTCCTGGCACGACTCAGGGCGTTTTGTCCCTCGGCAGCCAAGGCATTGGTTCTGTGCAAGACGTTCTCTCATTCAGAATGGGAGAATGCGTCAATTTACAGATATATTTTTATTTAATTTTTTTTTTGGGACTTGAAAAGGGACATATCAATCCTGCTGACGTTGAGGAAGTCTGAGACTAATGATCCTACAAAAAGCCAGTCTTGTTTTTCAGAGAACGTCTGGTCAAACAACTGTTACGTTTTCATGGGCGAGAGACGTTTGGACTTGATTTCCTATAATGCGTTTTCTACCTTGACTACTGACTGAAAAAGTACAGCTGTTTTCTCTCGCTTCGCACTCCTCTCCTGTTTAATATAACACACTATAAGCTTCAGACCTCCATGCAACAGATGAATGAAGTCTTCAGGTGTGGTTCACAGATAAGCATGTGATGGACTTCTGTAATTGACACAGACACCCATCAGTGACCGACACGTGTTGTGTTTGTAGCATCGACAATTGTACAATTTTCAAATCTGTCAGTAGCCACCTGATATTAGAGATATTGGTGTACGCTGGGAGCGCAACTGTCTCGATGTTACGTACTTCACTGATGTTGGTTTCCATTTGTCTTGAATGGCGTTACCACACATATATCCTAAAATCAGTTTACAATCATTTATAATCCATGATGAATATCTGATACTTGTACTATAGTTTACATAAAGCAGTGGAGTATATATTCATACATAAACTTCCTCAGTGCATATAGAATATACATATACACCCAATATGCATTGATATACAATCAAATGCATTATGCATTTTGTTGGTTGGTCAGTGGTTTCAAGAACAGTTAAGGCACCCACAGCTTTTCTGACTTTATTTAGCATCAAATCAGATGGAGAAATGGTGCCCAATTTCCCATTTAATTATCTGCCACCAAGGTTTGGTGTCGTACTTTCCACTTCCTCCAGATTTGGAGCAACATGCATTTTTTAACTTCTCATGCAACAGCTCTTCACATCCACAGAGTTTTCTTATCTTTGCAGAGTGTGTTATTTATAATTGTCTTTGTCAAGTTTTATATCACATGAAAACGTTCCAGCACCGTCGACCGACACCAGTGCTGATTAACAGTGGGAGCTCGTAGTTATGCTCGAAACATCAATATCGCAAATGAACATGCCTTTTTCCTAAGTGTACATTTCATTTTAGTCACCGTTATGCTGTATAGATGGGCACAGATTTTTTTCTTTTTGTTTGTTTTCCTTGTAAGTACAGATAACTGTGAATGAAAACATACACATGGTCAACGATAGTTATTTAGACTGTAAAATGTTTGACAGGTTTTATGGTATATTTATTAACGTGTGAAAAATGTATTATATGTAAAGTAAATGAATCCTAATTTTTAAAAATATGTTGTTGGCTCTTGAAAATGCTTCATGTTGCTAATTTGCATATAGGGTATTGGATGTATGCAGAGGCAATAAAACAATGCAGTTGTTACAAATGAAGACTACTGTGCTCCAAAGGGTTTTTCTACAGGCATTTGCACTACTTAATTTGCAGGCTTTATTCACATTTACTCAAGCTTTTTTTAACTTAAGAAATGTTGGTCAGCTTTCAAAAGCTAACCCATTAAGATTGTAATATTTGCATATGAATTTTGAAGTCTCTTAAAAAAAAAACGTCTATTTGCATTATGAATTGTGATTTAGTCTTCTTCCTTGCGTTATTTGCATAGTTAATTTCATTTATTTATTTTACATACACATCCATTTAGCATTTCAGTGTTGGTCTGTATAGTTTTTGCTTAGAACTTTACCACTATTCATTTGCAGCTTTGTTTTACTGGTGTTTGCTCTTCAGGAAATGGAAATCTTTTCAAATCCATTAAGCAAATCTTTTCAGATTTTAAAACACAATAAAAGTAGGGAACGTGCAAAAATTATTTTGCTTTATGCAGCACAATAGCCCACCTCCGATTTTCACGTTGGCGCAGTGTAAACGTTAACCCTGCGCCACTGCATTCACTGTCGGGAGAAGACAATGGCGGTGGGAAGTCTGATTCATTTCCGTGAAGAATCGGTTCCTTTGAATAGTTTAGTTCAACAGTTCAAAGGACTGGTTCAGAAAACGAATCGCTGCATTCTTGTTATAACGTTTCCTGACATCTTGGCATATTATGCTCTAAAACGGTCTCGTACCACATTTTCGATTAAGTTTTATTATTAAAGTGTGTTTGTTGTAATGTGTGTCCCAGTTCATTTTATTACTTCGGTTCATAGTGCCATTTAGAACCTATAAAACAATTTTCAGTTGCACATCTTGGCTGAAAATATTGTTAACCATGCGAGTCGGACGTGTTCGAAAAGGACAGCTCTTGATTCAATTATTAAGCTGTTACTCTAGAACGGCTAGCACCATTCAGTCCGATTCGTGAACGAATCATTCAGAGCGGTGTTGTGAACCGGTTCAAATGATTCATCGGAAAGATCCGACTTCAAAGGCTGAAGCTCACGAGTCTGTCTGTCATCGCTGAAGGAAACCTCTGGCTGTGAGAATGAACGTGTCGAGTTTCAGAGACTGCAAGGTAAGTTATGAATTTTGTTTACAATGTGTAATTCGCAGTGCATGCGTTTAACGGCAGCAACTTTTATGAGTTTTTCGAGATAAAAAAAAACTGCAAATCCTAACTCGTTACAAATGTCTATATAAAAGTTAGCTGGACCCTGTTGACCCTGTCAGTGGCGTTTACTTGGTTATGATTACTTTATTAAACTAAACAGTGGAAGACAAAAACTTTGTAAACAATACAACCTACATAATACACGTTGTAAACAGTACAGACAATAAGTGCAAAAACAAAACGACAACATGTAGAATGTAAAAGCTGCAGTTATTCATAAGAACAGGTTTCAGTTTGTAATTTGTCAGCAGTTTCTGTATCACAACAGATCAGTTACCTTGTTTAGAAGAAGTAATGTGAATGTGTTTTGCATGTTGTTCTGCACAGTATATTGCATTAGATATTGTATTAAATATTGCATTGGGGGCACAAAACTAGTTCAAGCAATCTTACTAGGCCAACAAATTTCAATTACACTTCATACAGTGTATCATTTCTGTTGTGCATGTGTTGTCAGGCATGGAAATCAGAAGGTCTGCCACTGTCCACCAGCAGTAATGAGGCCTGTAAACTATACGATGCTATACTGTCTCAGGTACATATGCATATGCTGATACTGATAACCGCGTGTATTTGTATAACTAACCTGAATATTTCTGTCTCTGGTGATCAGTATGTGTCCTGGCGTAATAATGAGACACTGGGAGGAATAGAAGGCTGTATTACAGCCGTCAAAGCTGCAGACCCGGACTTTGGTATGGGATTGCAACACGGACCATTGTAGTCTGTTAAAAGCCATTGTTAAAAAAAAAAAAAAAGAAGGTTGTAAATATTAAATGGTTTCTGGATTTCAGTTTTGGTATTCTGCTATCACATTGTTTTTATATCACCCCACAGGGGTTTCTCACATAATATTTAAGTATTTTTGTGTTTATTTGGTAAGTAGCCATGTAATAAGTGTGATAATGTGCATTCAGCTGGTCATTGTCGCAAGATAAACTCCTCCACAGTGATACAAGCCAGCCAAGGCTTTCCTAAGTCCTCATTAGTGTCTTCTCTGTGCTGCAGTGATGGGTCATGTGATCTCTACTGGGCTGGAGTTGGTGGGAACAGGAAGTTCAGTCCTGCGGGACGAGAGATTGGCCAGCGCGGTGAGGAGGACTGTGGAGTTGGCCAACACTCAGGAGCTCACGTCTAGAGAGAGGAACCATGTGAAAGCCGTGGAGCTCTTCTCTAAAGGGTGAGTGCATGAGAACATTCAACAGGTGACATTATGAACGTTTCACATCTGCCCACTCAATAAAAGGATTTTCTGTATTTTTATGGCGATTTTGCAGCCAGTGTTGTAAATGGAGGTCTTTTTCTGATTCATTTTGAGCAAAGTTGCCTTCGGCCCACAAGCAGTTATGAATTGGTTCTTTTAAGATTCATGCTCACTTGTATCCTTGGGCAGAAAAGAGTGTGACTGTCATATGAAAGTTTAAGCCTGATTAAAATTCTTGAATAAAGAAACCTTCATACAGACGTTTTCCAATCATTTCTGTTCTCAGCACTAATGAATTTGCTTTAGTAAAACCAAGAGTATTTTGTCAAAAGAGCACTTTTAACAGAGGGGTCATCGGAGGTGACTAATTTAATTTTTGTTTTTTTATATTTTGGGTGGTAAAAAAAAATTCTGATTTGAAAAGGACTGTCGTCAGAATAATTTTGAGTAGTGTTTAGTATAAACTAAAACTATTTAAAATCATATTCAGTAATTGAAATAAAGCTGAAATAAAATATAAATATAAAACGAAAAAATTATCATTAGAAATGGTGAATTATTAGTAGTGCTGAGATAAGTTTAAGTTGAAGTACTAAAATTACATTTAAAAAAGGTAAATAGAAATATTTTAAAAAATCAGAACGGTTATTAAAACTTCAAATAAATTAAAATGAAAATATAAAAATAAAAGCTAATTAAACATGAAAAAATACTATAATAGTATATACATGCTACTAAAAAAACATACATTTGTAAATGTCAAATGAATTGTTATGGATGAAGTAGATTGAATGGTGTGTTTCAGAGCCCTGCACAAGGCCTGTGAGGTTTGGGAGGGTATTTTGGTGGATCACCCCACAGACATGCTGGCACTGAAGTTTGCCCATGATGGATTCTTCTACCTGGGTGAACAGACTGAGATGAGGGACTCGGTGGCCAGGGTTCTGCCCCACTGGAAACCGCATATGCCGTTCTACAGGCAGGTGCCCGGCCAGTGCTCCACCAATGCTGTCTTGGAATGCATTTTACCATGTGATGAGTTGTGAATTACTTGTAAAATATATATTGTACTATAGTATATACAGTATGATGTTTTCATTGGATGTTTTCGTTTTTTTCCAGTTATCTTAAAGGGATGTATTCCTTTGGGCTTCTTGAGACTCGTTTGTATGATGAAGCTGAAAAAATGGCAAAAGAGGTAGTTTTGATTAACTGCATATTAAATTTATGTTGTTCATTAGTATTGCTCACTACTTTGTTATGGCACTATAATGTAAAAAATGACTAATTAAGCTATAAATCATGCATTATTAATTATGATTATATTAATATTTTATTAATTAATTAATTTTATTTTTCATGCAGTAGACATAGTAAATGTGCTGTTCTTGTCTTGCAAAACTGATGAAAAAACAGAATAATATCAGATTTCATTTTCACAAGTCCAATAAAATGTAGTGTACTGGACAATGAATATTTTATAGTTCCCCACACAGAAAATTAGAACTATTTAATTTCTTATATATATATATATATATATATATATTTTTTATTTTTTTTTAC